TACCTAATATACAGCTATACAGCATGATCAATCTTTATTGACTATTCCTTTGCAACATTTTATTTTGAGTTACCACATATCCTAGGGGAATGTGTCTATTCTATTCAGTTCTACTTACAACTGTGGGCATTCTCTTGCTCTGAGGAACAGATGTGTAGTGGGTGGGAACAAGAGAACGTAAGATGCAAGAGTGGGCAGCTTGTGTTCCCCTGGCAGTGTGTCATCCACCAGCCCTTCCTCTGAAGCCAGGAAGGCACAGAGTCACTTACGACCTCACCCCAAATCTATCTGAGTGGGAGAACCAAGTCCCCCACATTAGAAGGCTCTGTAGCTATAGCTCATCATAGAGATCTTGCCTTGTACAATCTGCCCTGTAACTTCATGGACTTTAGACGTACCTTTTCATTTCGTTGCCATAAAACCAATGCTACTAACCCTAACGGAGAGTGCAAAGAGGTTACCCTTCTAAGAGCTTCATGTCCTGGGAACTCACTTACTCTACACAACAACCCTCCAAGCTACGTACTCTTCCTTACCTCCATTATACAGACAAGGCACCTGAGGCACAGGACAAGTAACTTGCTCAAGGTCATACAGGTAGTGGGTGGTGGAGCCAGTGCCACATGGGGGCCCCAAAGGCCAGCTGCACAGTGTCCGCTCTAATTTTTTTCAAAGGCTGAACTGATGGTCCTCAGACCCCTGATTTTGCCAGTAACAGCAAGTCTTCCTTCTACAGAGAATGCCTAGTCCCGTTCCTTCAATAAATGTGGGAGTAGCAGAAAGAGTGGTACTTTATTACCTTGAACATAATGTGCCTACCTACTGAAAGTAGAATAAGGAGTCTCACTCAGCTTACTTGCAAAATTTAAAAACAAACTATTGGATCCAAAAACCAAACCACTGTCTAAGTTGGTTTCTTAGATACAAATCTAAGTTGGTAAGAATTTTATTTTTCTTTTCTTTTTTTAAAGGAGGGGTCTTGCACTGTTGCCCAGGCTAGAGTGTGGTGGTACCATCATAGCTCATTGCAGCCTCAAACTCCTGGGCTTGAGCAATTCTCCTGCCTCAGCCTCCCAAGTAGCTAGGACTATAGGCATACACCACCAACCCTGGCTAATCTTTAAGTTTTTTGTAGAGACAGGGTCTCGCTGTGTTTCCTAGGCTGGTCTCGAACTCCTGACCTCAAGGGACTCTCCTGCCTTCCTCCCAAAGTGCTGGGATTATAGTTGTGAACCACCATGCTCGGCCTTGAAACACCATGCTTGTCCTTGGTAAGAGGTTTCTGTGTTTCTTGAGCTACTTAGAAGAAATTCACAATATGGAAGTAAAAATAGCAATGGTCAACTATCTTTATAAACAGACTTTACCGGGTTAACTCAGCTGGTGCCCAGCCTTCCTCCAGCCCTAAACTGTGCAATTATCCACACCCACCCTTGCCTCAAATCAAATATCTCCTTATGGGAACGCTGAGGCAGGGAGGAAGGTCAGAAACTGCTGCCTTCCCACCACACAGGCTGCCTTTTGTGAAAACATGCCAACGTTTCCGAGAAATCTTTGGGATGGTAAAGTATAGTTCTGCAAATTCAGCATCATGGTTCTCGCTTTATTTCCTATCTTATTTTTGAAATGATTTATTAAATGGACACTTTAGGAATGTGGGAGAAACAGCTTTTCTCACCCAAACCGCTTTGTGTTCCTGTGCCCAAGAGCAGATTCTTTCACAAGGACATCAAATCTCTGGGATGGAAAAAGCCTCAGCGGTCAGTGTTTACTCCCCTGTGCAGCCTGATCTGCTGGGTAAATACTGACTTGGAGAACCATGTGACTGCCCCACCACTGCTCACCTTCTCCAGCGTGTCATTCAGGACATCCAGCGTCTGTATTTTGGCAACATTTGCAATGGCACTGTGAAGATGAAAAGAAACTTCAAATAGAGCATAAAAACTTTCTCACTACAGAGGCTAGGTGATTTATACAGCAGTCTGTCACCTTGGCCTTTAAGCTTTCACGCTGCTTGGCAACATCTGGAAGATAAAAATTCTGCCACTGTGTCCTCACGAGCTACATACAACAAGCTTTGTAAGCCAAGATATTATTATTATTGTTGTTATTTTAACTTTTGTTTGACATATATATACAGAAAATGTGCATATTATAAGTGTATAGCTTGGTGAATTAGACCGAAACCACTCGTCAAACCAGCTGCCTCTAAGGATAACCACTACCCGGACGGATAGCCCCATAGATTAGTTTTGACTGTTTTTGTCCTTCATAAAATGAACCATCGACAGCATGTACTCTTTTGTGTCTGACTTCTTTCTCTCAGGCCAAGTTATTTTGTAGGAGCATTTTAATCAGGGCCAAGTCTGCAGTACAATGTCTTGAAGGACTCTCTGCGCTTGGCGTATTTTTTTCTGGGTGGTTTGTGTTGATTAGTAGAAGTTATTAGGAAGTGGACATAGATTGATGATGCTTAGAAATTTATTTTGTACAATATATTTTCTAAAAGCTATTTTCCAAGCAGGAGTAAGAAGTGTTTGTCCAGGAAAACAAGGCTCTCCTCTCCTGCACACACACCCTCCTAGGAGATGTGAACCGCAGAAGCAGAGCTAATGAAGCTTAGGCCTCAGGGTCTCTTACCATGTGGGGTCCTCCCATGGCCTTGTGGGAGGGCCTTAGCCATTTCTTATTTGTAATTTTTGCTTATTTTCCTTTAAAATGGCTCCCAAATTCCATAAGCTTCGAGCCCCACATAACCGTATCTGTTCCTGGTAATTAGGGCAAGAGTGAGAGCTCTGTCTCTTGCTGTGTAAGTTCCATAGTAGTCCAATTCCCGTCTTTTAGTGACTATTAGAAAGCAATCGGAACCTTTAAAGAAGGTTCCAATCACTACTTTATTACTCTTTAGCCAATTCCTCTGCCCACACTGTTCAGATGATGCTAGAATTAATAGTAAGTCCCCAGTTTTCTTAGACGCAGAGAAATGAATGACCTGGCGCCCATTAGAAGTCATTTCTATGGCAAGATTCTTTAGTTCCTGAGCCCCCGGCTCAGGCATGCAAACCAGTGCACGAGAAACAGGGCTCATGCTTGAGTCAGGTTTTAGAGATAGAATAGGCTCTGAAAATTAATCAGCTTGCAATTCAACAGTCTGATATCATTAATAGAGTGCATTCACTATTCAAGAACTGTCCTAGATGCTGGGTCAGAAGTGAATAACATGTGACCTCTACTTGCGAGGACTCACAGCTTTGCTCTCATCATGCGATGGTTATTTTCTGATATCAGAAGAAACAAATGACTTGCTGCTAATGGGGTAAATCAATATTTCATTCAAAAGTGGAAGGAGGAAAATCCTCAAAAAAATTCCTTCCCAGAAATTGCAAAGATTTTTAAAGTGATTTACAAATAAATTTATATAAAAGAGTAAAAGAAATTCCATAGTCGGTTTCCCTCCACATTCTCTTTCTGAGACTGGTGCCATTTAAGTCTTCAGGAGGTGCCTTGAGCATCTTCTAATCGACTCCTTTTGAGTCACTCATCAATTGATTTATGGAAACCATCTTAAAATTAATAGTCTCTGAAGCCTCCTCGTTATGCTACTTGGAGGAACCAGTTCTACATGTTTCTTTCTTTTTAAAATGCACTCATTTTCCTTAACCAAGGCTTAGGGTGGTTGGGCCATTTGCGTATCTGATGCAGCCCACAGCTCTCTGCTGAGCTCGGAATAGCGCAGTGTCAAGGTTATGGCTGAAGGAGCAGGGGAAAGCCAGCCTCACTCTCTATATGCCTTCCGGCTATGCCAAATATAGTGGCCATTAGTTTCTAAATAATTGAGTGACGAATTTAAAACCAAAAAAGGCATTTATTTTTAATTCAGGAGATTTGCTTCAGCAGAAAGCATATTATGAAAACAGGGCCAGCCTAGAGACAATATTTTAAAGGCTGATCTGAAAATAGGACATGTATTCAGTTTGGATACATTTAGGACCATGAGTTTTAAGGTCGAAGCTGCTGGGCTGGACGCAGAGAGGAGAAGAATGGGTGGAGGTTGTGATGGGGGCCCAGAGAGAGCCCTCCAGATGGCAGCCACCTACCCCTTGTGCCACCCAAGTCACCATACATCATCACCCCACCCCACCCCACCCTGGCTGGCTGCCTCCAAATGCCACAGGGAGCCTTGGTTTGTCCTAACATAACTTCTGGAAGCAGAGTCGTTAAAAACTTCTCAAGGTGATGAAGAAAAAATGAAGCAGTCCCTACCTTGTTTTCTCTAATCCTGTTTTTTTGTTATGTCTCTCCAAGATGCCAATTTCTTGTTTTTTGGAAATTCGCATTCCTCCAGCTTTTACTATAAACAAACAAGCATCAACATGAAAGAACAGTGAGAGAAGGTTTGGTTGGTTATTCAAGGCACGAATTTAGATTTGAAAAGAATTTTTGAATGTATTTTTGAAGGATCAAAAACTTTTATCTAAAACAACACAATAAAAAGAAAAAATTTTTTCAGGCATATAAGATGGGGGCGGAAGAAGGGCTGAGATCTACTTGTTTACGCTCAGAGAGGTGGAACCGAGGCTGAAAAAGCAGCAGAAGGTTACACCTTAGATTTGGGGAGAATAACAACATACTCCCTTAGGCATTTCACTGAAAAACATTTTTTCTTGTTATCAAACCAATTACATTCTTCACAATAGCAACCGACAATTACAATGTGACCCTCTGGTTTCCCACAAGATTAAAGCTTGCATGTGGCTTGCATTTGTTTTTTTTTTTCAACCAAAGCTTTCAAAAGCCAGATTCTGAGAGAAAAGCCAGAAGTCAGGGCACACAGTGATAACGGGCATTTCATTCAACAGAGGTGGTTCCGATTGCACCGGATACCCGCCTTCCATCCCAGACCCCAAACCTCCGGTGTTGGCCAGGTTCAGATGTTCTACTGAGTAATTAAACTGAATTAATAATCCTGCCATTCAAGAGATCAATTAGTGTTAATTAGGCTACAGATGACCTAACAGCAATTCAACTGTTTAATGATGTCAGATGAAATCAACTTTTGAAAAGGAACAACCCATTTCAGATAGCAAGTCAAAGCAAATACTTTTTTCTGTTCCCAGGAAATTTGCACATCTAAAATCTGACAAGCTCAAATGAGAAAAAGCTAAATGGACCTTGATTTGTTTGAACCTATTAATTCTATTTATGAAAATACGAGATTGGCAATTTTCTAAAACTGTGTTCCAATAAAGTAAAAAATAAAGAAAACCTATCCTATTTCTCAATGCCCCTGTGAATTGACTTTATTATTGTTCTTTAAAAATTATTACTGGTTTTATTTTTTTGGTTATGTAATACCTGCATAAGGCAGTAAATTCAAAAGGCAACCTCCCAGATTCTCTCTCCAGGTACTGCTAATACTATGTTTCCTATGTCTTCTTCCACAGTTATTCTATACATTTATGTATTATTTTTTAAAAAATGGTAGTATGGGATACACATTCCTCTACATCTTATTTATTTTCTTCACTTAATCATATATTTTGGAGAAAGTTCCGTATCTATATCTGTGTATCTTTCTTTTTACCATCTGCTTTAAAATTTTATTATGTGAACATCCTGTGTTTACTTAACCAGTTCCCTCATGCTGGACATTTCATGTTTCTAATGCATTGCTACCACAAACGTGTTGCAATGAATATCCATTTATATATATAATTTTGTACAAGTACATCCATGGGATAAATTCCTAAACGTGATCTTTTTTTTTTTTTTTGAGACAGAGGCTCACTGTGTTGCCCAGGCTAGAGTGCCGTGGTGTCATCCTTGCTCACAGCAACCTCAAACTCCTGGGCTCAAGCGATCCTCCTGCCTCAGCCTCCCGAGTAGCTGGACTACAGGCATGCGCCACCATGCCCGGCTAATTTTTTCTATATATTTTTAGTTGTCCGATTAATTTCTTTCTATTTTTAGTAGAGACGGGGTCTCGCTCTTGCTCAGGCTGGTTTCGAACTCCTGAGCTCAAACAATCCGCCCGTCTCGGCCTCCCAGAGAGCTAGGATTACAGGCGTGAGCCACTGCGCCCGACCCTAAACATGATCATGTTGGTTCTTAAGAGCATGTACATTGAGCATTTTGTTAAATCTTGCCAAATTGCCCTTTGCAGAGGTCAAGCCAGTTTACAATCTCATCAGCTAGGATGACAGTGACTGTTTCCTGATACCCCTGGCAACAATATGAGCTGGAAAATGTTTGGTTTTGTCAACCTGTAAGTTAAAAAATAAATGAAGGTATCCCATTGTTTTAATTTGTATTTCTCATTTTTTGGTTGAGCCTATTTCTGTGCCTCAGAAGCCATTTGTATTTTCTGTGAACTGTTCAAATCCTTTGTTCCTTTTTTCTATTGATTGCTAGTCTTTTCCTGTCTTTTTCTTATTGATTTATAGGAGCTCTTTGTCTATGAGACACATTGCAAATATATTTTATTGTA